GTCTGCTGCCAGGAATATGGATGTCACTCATATCGTTTGCTTCACTTCTCTTGTTACTTTTAGCATCTTATCTTTGACTTTGGTGTTTGAGAGTTTGATTATAATATGTCTTGGGGTATTATTTGGGCTGAATCTTATTGGTGACATTTTACCTTGCTTTACCCAGATATTTATATATTTCTCCAGGTTTAGAAAGTTTTCTGTTATTATTTCTTTGAGGAAGCTTTCTGCTCCTTCATCTTTCTTAGTTCCCACTTTAACTCCAATAACCTGAATACTTGCTGTTTTTAAGTTGTTCCATAGATCCTGTAAGCTGTTTATTACTTTCATTCTTTTTCCTTTTTTCTCTTCTTACTCTGTATTTTCAAATAGTTTCTCTTTGAGCTCATTGATCTTTCATCTGTTTGCTGAATTCTTCTGTTGATGCTTTGTAGTGCATTTTTTGTTTCATTCATTGTGTTTTTCAGCTCTAGGATTTCTGTTTGATTTTTTAGAAATTGTTTCAACTTCTCTGTTCAATTTCTTGATAAATTTCTAAATGGTTCTCTGTCTTTTATTGAAGTTTATTTAACTTCCTTGAAACAGCCATTTTCAGTTCTTTGTCTGAAAGATTACACATCTCCATCATTTTAGGGTTGGTCTCCAGTGCCTTATGTTGTCCATTTGATGCAGTCATATTTTCCTAAAGGTTTCTGATACTCGAAGAAATGTGACAATTTGTGTGCATTGAGAGCCTCTGTATTTATCTTAGTCTGTGCAGTCTGGTTTTGTTTGTGCCTGTCCTTCAGAAGGTTTTCGAGGGATTCTAAGCACACTGACTGTTGCCTTCTCTGAGCCTGTGACAACTTGAGCTGCCTCAGCACTAGAGAGTGCTCAAAGCCCAGGCTTGCCATGTGTCTCATGAGGGCTCCAAGGTTGGCATGGCTTCCTGGCCCAAATGGATCTGTGGAAGATCCAAGGTAGGTACTGGGGCTGTGTGGGAATGCTGACCAGGTACTTGAGTCCAGAAGACTGTCTCAGTGCCCCAGACAAGCATGCCTCCCAACAGCTCTCTGCATAGGCAGGATGGGTTCTTGACTGTAGCAAAAGGAACTGGAGTTGAGACTGGACCCCTTTTGGATCTGCTGTGGGGAGGCTGATGACCCCCTCTCATTGCCACAGATGAGCATGTGTCATTTGGCAGGTCACTGCATCAGTAGGGTAGTTCCTCAACTTCCACAGGAGGGGCTGAAGCTGAGACTGAGCTGCCTTGGGATCTACTGTAGAAGAGAGGATGGCATGCCTGTCACATTGGCTCAGGTGGGTGTGCATTTCCCAGCAGGTCCCTAGACAGGATAGTTCCCCAACTGTGGCCGGAGAGGCTGGAGCTGAGACTGGGCCCCCCTGGGATCTGCTGTGGCCTGGAGGCTAAAGAGCTGGATCTTGTTGGCTCAAGTGGGGCGCTTGTCTCCCTGGAGGATCCTGCACAGACAGGATTGTTTCTCAACTACAGCAAGAGGGGCTGCAGCTGAGGCTGGGCCCCCTCAGGATCTGCTGTGATAGGAGGTTGGCAAGCCCATTGGGGAGGCCTATATTCCTGGGCTGCCAGATATGGTTGAGTCTCCCTTTGGGTCCTTGTGTAAACAGGTCTGAGCTGGGACCTCCAGCTGAAGGTTGGAGCAGAGCCACAGGGCCACTTTCAGGCTTACTGTCAAGACCAATATCAGCAGGCAGACAAGCCTTTCTGCTAAGTCACTAGCATGTGTGATTCCTTCTGGACCTCTTGGCGGCTGGTTTTGGTTGTAGACTGAAGGCCAAATGGGGCTGTTAGCTAAGCCCCTTGAAGGACTGGGCTGTTTTCCAGGCTTGAACTTAGAAGCAAGCTCAGTGAATCACCCACCTAGGTGTGAATGCATTCAAAACAACCTTCCTAGGTCTTTGGCTCCATCAGGGTTTGACAACCTCCTACCTGAATTCTGAGGCTCCTGCAGAGAGACTTTTTACTGTGGATAGGTGCAGGATTCTTGTTGCTATGGGGGGATATGAGCAGGTTACCTTCTATTCTGCCATCTTGGTGACATCCTGAACATTCCATTCTTGTATGCTTTTCTCTTGTACATGTACAAAAAGGAATTGCTAGATTATAGGGTGTTGTATCATACTTCAATTTTATTTGATAGTTCCAAACTGTTTTTCAGAATGACCATCTGTCCATACTGTTACCAGCAATTTATCGTTAAGGCTGCAAATACTTTGTATTGTCAGTTTAATTTTGTTTTGTTTTTCAAAATAATTCTGGTGAGTGTGTTATGAATTGCTATCTAATTATGAGGTGAATTTAAATTTTCCATGGTGACTGATGAAGTTAATCACTTTTTATATGTCTGTTGGCCATTTTTATATTCTATTTTGTATATTCATTTTTGTGATATGTCTATTGAGGCCTCTTCCTCATTTGTTTCTACTGGATTATTGGGGTTTTTCCTACTATTTTTTAGGAGTTTTTTTATGCATGCCAGATTATAAAACTTTTAGTCTTCACTTTCTTAATGGTATCTTTTGATGAACAAATTTTCTTACGTTTAATACAGTTGGCTGGGCATGGTGGCTCACACCTGTAATCCCAGCACTTTGGGAGGCCGAGGTGGGTGGATCATGAGGTCAAGAGATCAAGACCATCCTAGCCAACATGGTGAAACCCTGTCTCTACTAAAACACAAAAAATTAGCGGGGCGTAGTTGCACGTGCCTGTAGTCCTAACTACTCAGGAGGCTGAAGCAGAGGAATTGCTTGAACCCAGGGGGCAGAGGTTGCAGTGAGCCAAGATTGTGCCACTGCACTCCAGCCTGGTGACAGAGTGAGATTCCCATGTCAAAAAAAAAAAGTTTAATACACTATATTTTATTCCTCTTTTACTTTATGATTTTTTTTTTCTTTTAAGAAACATTTTCCTTACTCCAAAGTATAAATATTTTTCTATGTGAATTACTAAGAGTTTTGAATTTTGCCTTTTGTATTTGGGTCTACATTCTATTTGGAATTGATTTTTTTCTTTTTTTGTATGTGATGTGAGGAATATATTCTCTGATATTAATAGATAAGACATTGTGCAGTCATCATATACTGACAATAGCATTGCTTCCTGACTGCTCTTCTGTGCCTAATTTGTCATAAATCAGCTGTTCATATAAGTTTTTAAGTCTGCTTCAGGATTCTCTGTTCTGTCACATTAGTTTATTTGCAAATTACATTGTGATTTCCAAATTAACTCTGCCTTTCTGGAATAAATTCAACTTGATTATGGTATGCTATCTTTTTGGTATGTTGCTGAATTCTTTTTACACTATTTAAGAATTCTGCATTTGTGTTCATATATGAAACTGGCCTGTTATTTTAATTTTCTTGTGAAATTTGATACCAGGGTTATGCTTACCACATAACTCATACAGAATATTTGTTACATTGGCATTATTTCTTCCTTGGGATAATTCACTGGCACAGCCATCTGACCCAGGAGTTTTCTTTGTGTGAGGTTATTATAGATTTAATTCTTTGTAGATTGTAAAACTATTCAAGTTGTCTATTCTTCCTTTGTCAGTTTTGGAAAGTTGTATTTTTCTATTAATCTGTCCATTTTATCTAAGTTTTCAAATTAATGGCATAAAATTACTCATATTATTATACTATCTCTTTATTGCCTATAGAATTTGTGCTGTTGACCTTTTCATCTAAATACTCTTTGTGATTTCTTTTTTTCTTAATCAATTTCACTTTGATGAAAAATGTTTTTGTTTTGTTGTGCTTATTTCTTACTGTATTCTTTCACTCTGAGGACTCACTGCTATGTAGTGGGGAATTCTTTGCTATTTTTATTTAATTATTGCTCTCCCTCCCTTTTCTTTATTTTCTAATTCTGGAACTCCTATTAGCTATGTGTTAGAACTTTTAGGTCTCGCTTTTGTAAAATACTTTTTTTCATTCATCTCGTCTTTATCTCTTCATCCATTATTCCAGTGAAATCCTCTGGTTATGCTTCTATTTTACTTACTTGATCTTTGCTTTTTTGTAGTTGTTGTTTATTAATTTCAGCCATCATACTCTTCTTTCCTGAAGGCTTTGCCACATACAGAAGACTTTTTTTTTTTTTTTTTTTTTTTTTGAGACGGAGTCTCGCTCTGCCACCCAGGCTGGAGTGCAGTGGCCGGATCTCAGCTCACTGCAAGCTCCGCCTCCTGGGTTTACGCCGCCATTCCTCTGCCTCAGCCTCCCGAGTAGCTGGGACTACAGGCGCCCGCCACGTCGCCCGGCTAGTTTTTTGTATTTTTTAGTAGAGACGGGGTTTCACCGTGTTAGCCAGGATGGTCTCAATTTCCTGACCTCGTGATCCGCCCGTCTCGGCCTCCCAAAGTGCTGGGATTACAGGCTTGAGCCACCGCGCCCGGCCTCAGAAGACTTTTTATACAGGTAATATAGCATTAGCTCCTTTTTACCTCTATGGATTTTTTTTTTTTTTTTTTTGTAGATACCTACTTCTGGCTCATGGAAGGTATTCCTTTTTGTTTTCAAGTGCAGCATTATATTAGTATTTTTATGTTATTTCTCCATAATATAATTTAGGTTGGTGGTTAATAGTGTGAACTCTGGAGGCAGAGAACCATTACTCAAAGCCAAGCTCTGCCTCTTTGACATGTTATTCAAACCCCCCCGTGTCCCATATTCCTTACATATGATAATACAGATAAAGATAATATGTATCTCATGGATTTTGTGAGAATGAAACAAGACAGTATATGTCAAAATGCCTGTCACATAACAAGTAATCAGTAGATATTAACTCTTGTTAGTTGAATAATGGTGGCAGTAGTACATTAGTTATCATTATGTGATCAGAGTAGATGGTGGAGATTTTGCCATGTGTTTGTATGTGGCCATACTATTTCAGCCATCTCCTCTATAACTTAAAATTGAAAATTGAGTCTAACAGACTTAGATAACTTACTACCTTTTTTCCTTTTCTACAGATGGATCCTGAGCTTGAAAAAAAACTGAAAGAGAATAAAATATCTTTAGAGTCGGAATATGAGGTACAGTATGTTAATGTAGTCTCTGTCTTATAACAATGAGTTACTGGTTTTATCTGCCTTAAAAGTATTAATAGTACAGAAAAAAAATTATCTTGAATATATAGTATTTGATAAACTATATAGTCACTTGAAAAGAAAATATAGATGGATCCATACTTAATATACTACAAATAAATAAATTCCAGATGGATCAAGAATTTAAAAGTAAAAAGCAAAATGCTAAAAGTACTAGGAGAATATAAATGGGGAATTTTGTTTGTTGTCTTGAGTCAAAAAAGCCTATTTAAATGTGATATAAAACCCAGAAGCTCTAAAAGTAAAGATTAATGGGTTCATACATACAAATTCAAAAGTTCAGACTAAAAAAATGTATATGAAGTCACAAGTTATATGAGAAATCCTACAAATATAGTTTAATCTTATCATGGCACATTCATTTACTTAAATATGAAGACCATCTCCAAATCAGTGTGAAAAGTTCAACAATTCATTTGTTCAGTAAGAACATGGGAAAGCATAGCACGTAAAACTTTTGGACAAAAGGAAATAAGTATCATTCTTAAACATATGAAGAGATGCTCAATTTATCATAATAGGAATATCAGAGTGTAATGAGGTATCACTTTTCACCCATCTAATTAGCAAAAATCAAGGCGTTTAATAGCACACTATATTATGGGATGTGGTGAGGTGGGATGTTCTTCATGTCTTAGAGTTTGTAATTTTTTTGACTGGATTATATTTTCCTGTTTCTTTGTATGTTTGGTCATTTTGTATCGAAAGGTAGTCATTGTGAATACTACACTGAAGAAAATTCTGAAGAGTGTTCATTTTTGTTTTAGCAGACAATTTAATTGTTGGCTAATCACCTTGAACTTCATTTTGTGCTTTGTAGGGAAGTATCTGTTGAAGGGCTACTATCTTTCCTTGACCCTTCTCCCTTGTTGGGACTTAATCTCCAAACTGTCTCCCCAGAGAGTCTTGTCAAGGCTTGGCTTGAAGCTTTGTTGGGGTGAATCTCAATAAAATCTTATTCTCAGGCATAATTTTTACTCCTGAAGAACAGCCCTTTTGGTGTCTTAGGTGGATGTCAGCGTAGCAACAAAATGTTAAAAGAAAGTTCTCCACTGTGGCAGGCCTGAAAACTCCATATTCTTGACACTGTTTTTTCTCAGCATTTCTTCATGCTGTTCCACACTCAAGCCTATGCCAGTTGGCTGTGAAGTGTTATGTCTTGGGTGGTTTTTCTCAGCACATTTACACAGCCCATTCTTCAGCCACTGTGCATGTTTTGTAGAATTCTACAAGGAATCTCCTTCACCAAAGATCTCTAAAGACTAGACCACTTTTACATGAACTTGTTATTTAACAATTTTCTTCAATTCTGTTAAGCATATATATTTTATGTTACCTGGATAATGGCCATTTATTCTTTATTAAAATCTTTTAATAACTTTAGATCATTTCATAACTATACTTGAAAATACTTTCAATTCTTCTCGTATGCTAAATTAGTTGAATTTTGTTCCTTTGTGTATATATGTAATACAGACTCCTGGTAAAACTATAAGTGAACAGTATTTTCATTTACTACTTTCCCATTGATTAAAAAAAAAATCCTGTAACTTGCTAACTTGTAGTTTTACAAGTGCTATACCAGTAGTGATGCTATGGAGAGTTTGTCTGGGAGTAGATTTTCCTTCTAGTTCTTCTAGGACCTGTAGAATCTGAGAGCTGAAGAAACCATGTAGACTATTTGGTCCAACTTTTTCATTGTTACTTATCAGAGAATTAATGCCCAGGTGGCTTAAATCACTTTCCAAAGATTATATAGCTAGTTAGTAAGAGAGTAATGCTTAGTATCCAAGTGTCAAGGTAAATTTATATCATTTTCCCTGTCTCTGGATATAAGCTATCCTTTGTTTTCTCAGTCTTTTTTTTTTTTTTCCTGTCTTACTCAATTATTCCAGAACAACCAAAACAGCAGATATGTAAAAGTTAATGTCAGAGTGGTGGTCAGTAAGAGAAAGGTGAAGAAACATTTATTTTCCCCCTTTTATTCCACCTTTATTTTTGTGCTTGAGAGGTACTTCAGACTAAATGAAGGTAGGATGATCCATAATGTAGTTACAACTAGTTTCAGTTGCCCAAAAGTGTTTTGCTTATGGTAGCTGTAGGAAAAGTCTTTTCATTCCTAAGACCAGACATAAGACAAATTATCTTGGTCTCTTTTCTTTTTTATAGAAGACTTTAGGGTCTCCATCTTTGTTCTTTTCTTCTTATTTTCTACCATCATCCCCGATAACCCTTTCAGTCATTATCGTGCTGGATCAACCTTCAGATTTGTACTTTTGTTTTCCCAGCTTCGGCCTTTTCCTTGTCCTCTCAAAAATAAGGCATGTAGACTCTTTCTCTGTTTTAATAGTTTTATGGTTAAGGTGGAGTAAGATAGGCATTAACATCAATAACAAACAAGAAAAGTTCTAAATCTTAAGATGACATTTCATCAATGATTATGATTGTAGTTGATTTATTTGTTACAATTGTAATTGAGGACCTATCGGATACTTTGTACTCATTTATTCATTGAGTTGTGTCCTAATCAAAGCCACAGGGCTCTTATACTAATATTTATACTTTAATTTTCTGCGGCTCTATAGAAAATAAAAGACTCCAAGTTTGATGACTGGAAGAATATTCGAGGACCCAGGCCTTGGGAAGATCCTGACGTCCTCCAAGGAGGAAATCCAGAAAGCCTTAAGACTAAGACAACTTGACTCTGCTGATTCTTTTTTCCTTTTTTTTTAAAAAAATAAAAATGTTATCAACTGGACTTCCTAATATATACCCCTATCAAGTGGAAAGGAAATTCCAGGCCCATGGAAACTTGGATATGGGTAATTTGATGACAAATAATCTTGATAAAAGGTCATGTACAGGTTTTTATACTTCCCAGATATTCCATCTGTGGATGAAAGTAACAGTGTTGACCACGTATATTTTACAACTTGAAATAAAAAATGTAAATACTGCTCCAAAACAGAGTCATGTATTCCACTCTCCAACTACCCATGTATTCCTTTTGCAATAGCCACTAGGGCATCATTTTGATATTTCATTGTGATTTCTGATTCCTAATGAGGACAGTAGGTCTGGATCCAAATTCTCACAGTAAAATCAAGCAGTAATTTTCTGTCAAATCTATTAGGGAAAGAAAAATGATCACAGTCTGCTAAGAGTCTTGATTTTCTTTGTAATACCTCACATAGTATGATAATCAGCCTCCAAAGCATCACCTGATAATTACAATGATAACATGTCAAGAAATTATATTATTTATGGTTGTCAAAAATTATGAAGTAGTGTATGATTATAAGCAGATACGACAAATTTGTTCAGTAAATCCACAGATGACTACATTTTGAGAAATACTAAGATATGCTTTATACCTTAGCATAATTTGCATGCAAAATTGCCCTCTATTGTTGTTTTGTGTTTTAATTTGGCGTTTGCAATGATCTGATCCCTAGGCAAAAGGACAGAATTGAGGATTCTTTTGTTTTGTTTTGTTTTTTGAGACAGAGAGTCTCACTCTGTTCGCCCAGGCTGGAATGTAGTAGCACGATATCGGCTCACTGCAAGCTCCGCCTCCCGGGTTCACGCCATTCTCCTGCCTCAGCCTCCCGAGTAGCTGGGACTACAGGCACATGCCGTCACATTCGGCTAATTTTTTGTATTTTTAGTAGAGACGGGGTTTCACCATGTTAGCCAGGATGGTCTCCATCTCTTACCCTCGTGATCCGCCCACCTCGGCCTCCCAAAGTGCTGGGATTACAGGCATGAGACACCGCACCTGGCTAAAAGTTAGTTGTTTTGAACTCATTTTCTCCTTTTTACCCCTGTCTTTATCAGCTTCTACCTTCTGGTTTCATGCTGAGTACTAGTTGCCTAAAGTCTCCATTGAAACACTCCCCTTATAATTGCCATAAAATCATAAATCCACTCCACCTTTCTCCTCCTAGTCAAAATTTGTATTCTTTTCAGCAAGTTGGTTTTAACAAAAAGTAAATTAAGTTGATTATCTAGTGATAATAATTTATGATAGACGTGATTCATAAGATAGTTATCTGGGGGAGCAATTGGATTTCATAGGAGAAAAAAAGAGTCTCCGCTTATTATTCACTCATTAAACAAGTCACTCAAAAAAGGATCATTGATTTAAACGTAAAATAAGTATAAAACTTTTAGGAAAAACCGCAGGAGAAAGGCTTCAACTTACTGAATAGCTCTTACCAAAGAATATTCATAAAAGAAAAACTTGACAAATTGACGCATCAATGTTACAAACTTTTGTTTGCCAAAGGCCCTGTTAAAAGGATGAAAAATGTAGAGTCTGAGAGAAAATACATGTAAACCACATATCTGGCAAAAGACTCATATCTAGAATAAATAACTCTGTAAACTCAGTTAAAAAAAAATCCAATTGGAAAATGGGCAAAAAACATAGAGACATTTCACTGCAGAGGATACACTGATGGCAAATTAGCTCTGAAAAGAATGTTTGACATCACTATGAAGGAAATGCAGTTTTAGACTACATTGAGATCACTACACATCTATTAGATACCTAAAAAAAAAATTAGTGACAGTATGAAATGCTGGCAAGGATGTGGAGAAATGAAATCTCTAATACATTGGTGGTATCATGTAATATGGTACAACTCGTCTAGAAAATTGGCAGTTTCTTTAAAAGCATAAGGGAATTCTGGTTTCCAGTTTGACATGTAAAAAGTTTGAAAAATTTAATTCCCATCATAGCAAAGAAAAAAGCTGAACAACTAAACTCTTACTTTGAGTTGAAGTCACAGGACAAACCACCACCCTGAAAACTGGAGACACAGGCAGGTGCAGAAAATCATAGTTTACCTGGAGGAGCACCTGCCCAGAAACCGCCACTGGAGCCAGCATTCGGTAGGAATACCTAAAGGTAATTGAATACTTCCTGGAGGCTGATCGTGGACTAACTGAGAGAAAATCTCTTAAGAGGAGGCCAAGCCTTGTGTGGATTGGAGAAGGGACACTTGCGAGTTTTACCTGTAAGAGTCCCACCTGATTTTCATAATGAATATCAGAGAAAAATCCCCTTGTGCTCCTAGCAGGTGTAGGTGAAAGTAACTATTCTGAAATATGCCCAGAGAATTCTGTTTTCTTTAATGTAAGCCTGGCCCCAAAGTAAACTCTTGCTAGAACCTAATCGCATTGGGTTTTACCAGTGCCTAGCCAACTGGAGTAAGGGGAATAACCACTCCAGCCTCCTCCAACCTTCCTGTTTTACCTAAATGGGGGTGAGGAGACTGAAAAATACTTGTGAATGTTCAGTCCGGGGACCTAGGCTTACTAAGAAGCCTAATCATAGGACTTACAGAATGCTCCCTACTACATATATTACCACCACATCACTGAAGGCCTATTCACTCGAGTTTGTTTTACCCAGTATATCATGTCCAACATTCAACAAAAATGAACGATAAAAAGCACAGTTTGAAGAGACAAAACAAGCATCAGAATCAGATTCAGACATGGCAGGGACATTGCAATGATCACACTGGGAATTTAAAATATGATTAATATGCTAAGAGCTCTGATGGAAAAAGTATACAACGTGCAAGAACAAATGGGTAATAAAAGCAAAGAAGTGGAGAATTAAAAGGAAATTCTTGGCATTAAAAAACTAACAAGTGAACAGTGCCTTTGACGAGGTCATCAACAGAGTGAACAGAACTGAAGAAAGAGGGAGAAAAGTACCTATAGTATGTTAACACTAATCAAAAGAAAGTTTGAGTAGTTGTATTAATCTCAGACAAATCAGACTTCAGAGCACTGAAAATCATGGAAGAAGAGAGGCATTACATAATGATAAAGGGGACCCATTCTCTCCAAGAAGACAAAATTCTTAATGTATATACACTGAACAAAGCAGCAAAATACATGAGCAAAAACTGGTAGAGATGCAAATATATGAGAAATATATGAATAGACTTAAAGAGACGTAATCAATCCTCTTATCAGCAATTGACAAATCAAGTAGGCAGAAAATCATTGAGGACATAGTTGAAGCGCACCATCAATCAGCTGTATCTAATTGACATCTAAAGCGTACTCCACAACAACAGAATAGGCATTCTTCTCAAGTTCAAAAACATTCATCAAGACAGACAACCACATAACACACCTCAACAGATTTGAAAGAATAAAAATCATACAAAGTATGCCCTCAGACTGTTATGGAATTAAACTAGAAATCAATGACAGAAAGATAGCTAGAAAATTCCAAAGTACTCGTAGATTAAATAACACTCCTCTAAATAACACATGTGTAATGAAATGTAAAGAAATTAAAGATATTTTGCACTAAATGAAATAGAAAATAAACCTTACCAAATCTGTTGGATGCAGCAAAAGAGGTGCTTTGAAGGAAGTTTATAGAATTGAATGTGTTTAATAGAAAAAAGAATATATACATTAGAGATAGGGTCTTGCTCTGTTACCTAGGCTGGAGTACAATGCCACAATCATAGCTCACTGTAGTTTCAAACTCCTTGGCTCAAGCAATCCTCCTGCTCATCCTCACTGGTCATTACAGAAATGCAAATCAAAACCACAATGAGATACCATCTCACGCCAGTTAGAATGGCGATCATTAAAAAGTCAGGAAACTACAGATGCTGGGAACATCACACACCAGAGCCTGTTGGGGGGTGGAGGGCTAGGGGAAGGATAGCATTAGGAGAAATACCTAAAGTAGACGATGGGTTGACAGGTGCAGCAAACCACCATGGCATGTGTATACCTATGTAACAAACCTGACAAAAGCAAGCAATGTGGAAAGAATTCCTTATTTAATAAACAGTGTTGGGAAAACTGGCTAGCCATATGCAGAAAACAAACCCCTTTCTTACACTTGATACAAAAATTAAGTTAGGATGGATTACAGACTTAAATGTAAGACCTAAAACCATAAAAACCCTAGAAGAAAACCTAGGCAATACCATTCAGGTATAGGCATGGGCAAAGATTTCATGTCTAAAATACCAAAAGCAATGGCAACAAAAGCCAAAATTGACAAATGGGATCTAATCAAACTAAAGAGCTTCTGCACCACAAAAGAAACGATCATCAGAGTGAACAGGCAACCTACAGAATGGGAGAATATTTTTGCAATCTATCCATCTGACAAAGGGCTAATATCCAGAATCTACAAAGAACTTAAATTTACAAGAAAAAAACAACTCCATCAAAAAGTGGGCAAAGGATATGAACAGACACTTCTCAAAAGAAGACATTTATCCAGCCAACAAACATGAAAAAAACCTCGTCATCACTGGTCATTAGAGAAATGCCAATCAAAACCACAATGAAACACCATCTCAACACCAGTTAGAGTGGCGATCATTAAAAAGTCAGGAAACTACAGATGGTGGAGAGGATGTGGAGAAATAGGAACACTTTTACACTCTTGGTGGGAGTATAAATTAGTTCAACCATTGTGGAAGACAGTGTGGTGATTCCTCAAGGATCTAGACCCAGAAATACCATTTGACCCAGTAATCCCATTATTGGGTATATACCCAAAGGATTATAAATCATTCTACTATGAAGACACATGCACACATATGTTTATTGTGGCACTGTTCACAATAGCGGTAGACTTGGAACCAACCCAAATGCCCATCAGTGATAGACTGGATAAAGAAAATGTGGCACATATACACCATGGAATACTATGCAGCCATAAAAAAGGATGAGTTCATGTCCTTTGCAGGGACATGGATGAAGCTGGGAACCATCATTCTCAGCAAACTAACACAGGGACAGAAAACCACCACATGTTCTCACTCATAAGTGGGAGTTGAACAATGAGAATACATGGACACAGGGAGGAGAACATCACACACTGGGGCCTGTTGGCAGGTGGAGGGCTAGGGAAGGGATAGCATTAAGACAAATACCTAATGTAGACGACGGGTTGATAGGTGCAGCAAACCACCATGGCACATGTATACCTATGTAACAAACCTGCACATTCTGCAGAACTTAAAGTGTGTATATATATACTTTAAGAGTATATATACTCATATATATGAGTAATATATATATATTACTCTTAAAACTGTATCAAATAAGAAATAAAGACAAAATTACAACAAATATTGAAGAGTCTTTAGGATATGTTGCAAATATGAATACATATGCCACTAATCATCTCCACGTGAGCAGTTCCTCTCCAGTAAATTTACATTGCAGTAAAAAGTGATGTTTTACAGTTCTCACATATTTTTTCATCATGTTTACTGCAATACCATAAACCTTGAATAACACCATGGGACCCATGCAGAGTGCCGCTAATGATGCTCAAAGTGCCCCAAGAAGCAGGTAAAAGTCATGACATTATAATAAAAAGCTGAAATGCTTGATATGTACCATAGATTGAGGTCTGCAGCTGCAGTTGCCCACAATTTCAAGATACATGACTCCAGCATAAGGGCCTTTGTAAAAAGAAAAGAAAAAAAGAAAATTTGTGAAGTCATCACTGCAGCTATGCCAGCAGATGTGAAAACCTTACACTTTTTGCAAACTGTCTTTTTATCTCATTTTGAAAATGCGGCTTTTATGTGGGTGCCGGGTTGCTATAAGAAAGGTATACCTATAGACTAATATGAGTCAAGAGAAAGTGAAGTCATTATATGACAAAGCAAAAGGAAGGTGAAGAATCTAAAGCTGAAGAATTTAATGCCTACAAAGGATAGTTTGATAATTTCATAAAGATGTTTGGCTTAAAAAAAAAAAAAAGAAAAGAAAAAACAGTCACTCCCAGCCTGGCCAATATGGTGAAACCCTGTCTCTACCAAAAATACAAAAATTAGCTGGACGTAGTGGTGGGCACCTGTAGTCCCAGCTACTCGGGAGGCTGAGGCAGAAAAACTGCTTGAACCCAGGTAGCAGACGTTGCAGTGAGCTGAGATCGTGCCACTGCACTCCAGCCTGGGCAACAGAGCGAGACTCCATCTCAAAAAGACAAACAAACAAACAAAAAAAAAACAAAAAAACACTCACTCATAAGTGTGGAAGTACACTGGGAGTTTCCTTATTTGCCACTTGATTGTCCTAATCATACTACAGCAAAGAGGTAGAGATATGAGAAATAGTGCTCCAACCCTACTGGTCAGTTTCATAAGAGGCATCAGCTTAGAACTGGGTGTTTCATGGAGTATAAAGGGTAGAACTGAGTGTTGGCATATCATTTGATTCAATGGGGCCTAAAAAGCAGGGCAGTTGGGAAACTGGGAGTTTATATAGACGTAGTCAAATTGTCGCCTTTGTCTGGACTTCATTTTCTCTTAACTGTACAATAGAAGGTGGGGTAGTAAACACCTATAGGAGTGGCATTAGGATATGGTAAGACTGTAAGCACAAGGGCAGGGAATGTTTCTTTGAAATGTTCTGCCTCATTTCTCCTCCTCTCCTCTCTCTCTACCACAACAGCAAAGCTGAGCTGGCCCGATGTGGAAGGTATTTTTATTGGGCTTTCCAAGATTCTGGTAATGTATTAACCTTTCAGTGTAAGATGTGGATTTCTTTTGCCTTTGAAAGTCCATGAGAACATTTAAATTTACAATGCAGTTAATTGGTTGTTTTCTACCACTGTCTTTGAGTTGCCCACCCTAAAAAAATTTACTCCAACACAAAGTATTAGTAATCAATGTAACATTTACTAATAATTTCATAGGGAAGAGAGGAGATGGTTTATACTGTACCACACAAGAAGTAACTCAAGAAATCCCCCTATTGGCTGGATGTGGTGGCTCACACCTCTAATCTAGCACTTTGGGAGGCTGAAGCGGGTGAATGACTTGAGGTCAGGAGTTCAAGACCAGCCTGACCAACACAGTGAAATCCCGTCTCTACTAAAAATACAAATTAGCGCTCACGCCTATAATCCCAACACTTTGGGAGGCCAAGGCGGGCAGATCGCCTGTGGTCAGAAGTTCGAGACCAACCTGGCTAACGTGGTGAAACCCTGTCTCTACTAAAAGTGTAAAAATTAGCTGGGCGTGGTGGTAGCCGGGTGCCTGTAATCCCAGCTACTTGGGAGGCTAAGGCAGGAGAATCGCTTGGACCTGGGAGGTGGAGGTTGCAGTCAGCCAAGATGACACCATTTCACTCCAGCTTGGGCAACAAGAGCAAGACTTTGTCTCAGAAAACAAAACAAAACAAAACCATAGTCAGGTTTGGTGGTGGGTACCGCAGAGGCTGAGGCAGGAGAATCGCTTGAACCTGGGAGGCGGAGGCTATGGTAAGCCAAGATTGCCCCACTGCACTCCAGCCTGGGTGACACAGCAAGACACTGTCTCAAAAAAAAAAAAAAAAGAAAAGAAAAGAAAAAAAACCATTCTTATCAAAATGTCACACCTAAAATAATATTTTAATAACATTACTCAGTAGCCCATTCAATTAGTAGCAATAAATTCTGTGTGGGTGGAAGGAGCTATCTAAATAATATTTTTATACATCTCTTTTCTGCCAACAGTGAAGTTCAGTGGAAAACCATGCAAACTGGTAGCCCTGAATTGGACTCTGGACTTTGTCACTTACAAACTGTGTAATCTTACACAAATTACATAACCTCTTTGAGTTCCAGTTGCCTCATCTGCAAACTGCAGTTTTGTGACTGTGTCAACAGTTGTGTGACTGAGTGAGGTATGCATGGAACTCACTGAAGAGACAGGAAAGAAAAGATAGTTAATAAAGGAGTAGTTATTGATCAGTACAAGGAAAATAGTCTGCTTATAGATGATAGATTGTTCTACAAGCATTGCTTCATATAATACAATTTTTTAAAAAAATTTTCTGGTTTTCTGCCTTTTGAAACTTAAACAATGTTTAGCCTACTGTAATCATTACTAGAATAATAGAAGGAGAGTGGACAAAAGGTTTCTGAAATAGGACTTTCAGTTGGATGACATTTGTATGCATTCCTTTTGTGAGAGTGGAGACCAGATTTTGAGGATGGACTTTGGTCTATGATACTCCCAACGGAAATGATCCTGGTCTGGGCAAGCCTTCGGGAGTCACTGCTCACTCCACAAGAGGGTGCACAAAGACCACACAATACAGAGTTTTGAAGCCAGAACTCTTAGATGATGTCCAACTTTTGCTAGGGCCTTGTCCTCCGCAGGGAGTCCCATAATCAAGAATCCTGATTTGCTCTCTCTGCATTTTCCCTTTAGATGCTGTGAGGCCAGAAGATTCCTGGCTGGATGAATTGGCTACTCCAGCTACTGTATCCTCTTTGTGCAGAGCTGCCTCCCTCAGGGGTGTCTGATGCCTGTGGTCCAGCAGAGCCTCACAAACCCTGGACCCCAAAGGAACTGCTCAGGAACCCTGAGGAACTGCTAACCACCTGTGTCTGAGCTGGGCTCTTCTGTCTTCTTTCAGCTTTTTCCTCCTGCCTTCATCCTTTTTGCTCAGTTTTCTCCGATTCCTTCTCAGCTCCCTTTTCCTTACCCAGGTATATCAACCACAAGAAACCAGGGCTCCCCTGCATCAGATGTCTCTAGGCAGTAATAATAAAATCCTCCTGCTGGTCCCTTGGACTGCCTCCTTCACAGACATACTGATACAAAACACACACACACACACACACACCAGCTACAAATCCTCCTGCTGGTCCCTTGGACTGCCTCCTTCACAGAAATACTGACACAAAGACACAAACGTATACACACACGCGCACACACACACACGTGCGTGCTAATCCCTCCACGGTGGCCGGTGCGTGGGAAGGGGCCACCTGGGACAGCAGCCCTGGGAGGCAGCTGTGAGGCCTGACCTCAGCATAAGTCTCAAGTCTGTCCCACACCTGAAGGGGGCATATTTACTCCCATGACCGAGGATACAATGTCAAATAGCATTGCCCCAGACCTGGGCAGTCTCTTTGGGGCCAAAGTTCTCCTCAGGTGCTGGGAAAACAACGTAAGAAACTCCAAAGCCAACGCTGGCCACTGTGTGTGAGAAGATGCCCAGCTTCCAGAAATCCTAGCACTCTGCTGGCAAAGGCCCCGCAGTAGGATTCTTCCAGGCTTGTTTGATGATTTTCATGGCAGGGAGTCTAGGCGAGCAGACTAATTCAATTGTTGTATAACTGTTTAAACACACAGAAAAAAGAATCTTGACAAAACCCTCTTAGTTAGACTTCACAACACCGTGAAGCACAAACTGCCCCAGGGCAGCGTTGTCTGCCCCACCTGCTAGATTCCCCTTCCCATCTCATCAAAGCGGGGCAAAAACCACTACAGTTGTCACCTCTCTTCTCTCCCTTTGGTATGCTGTATTAATTGCTTTTAACGGGAGCTTTCTCTGAAGTTCGGATATGTGAAGGTCCAAGAGGCCTGTACTATACCATTCCTTGAGCTCAGGACACAGTTCCTGATGTGGCTCAGAAAATATACTAGACCCTACAGTTCACTAGGAAAAAAAATCTAGGTTATCAATTTCCCCCAGATAATAATCTCAGTTTTTCCTACAACAGATACAGGGCCTATTTTTATTAAAGAATGAGAATTACAAAATGGGAAATTGAGAAAGAAACTTAGAGATCACCCATCCTAGACCAAGGGTCTCACTTTACAGAAGGCAAAGATGAGGCCAGAAAAGAGAGGTGACTTGCCTGAGGTCACACAGCTGGTTGGTGGAAGATTCTGGGCTGAAATCCAGTTACCCTGATTACCAGGTGAAGACAGTCCCGTTCACCTCAGTTTAAAGCGTTGTGTAGAAGCCAGTTAATTTTTTTCCAATAAAGTCTGCATGTCTCTATTTGTGAATGTGGGTGAGAATACGAGGCCCTAGAAGAGGTACAATATCTCTGGAATTTACCAATGCTTGGCAGGTGGCAGGTACATGCTAAGAAAATATTTATTGAATGAATGGATGGGACCTGTGGGAACGCAGAGAAAGGGAGTGGATATATGCCTAATATTACCCATGATTCAAGACTCAACAAAAGCAGACAAATCAGGGACATACAGATATCAGGAGTATGTTTTTCCACTGGGTATGAAGCCTGAGTGAGGGAAGGGAGTATCTATTTATAAGTGATGTCTGAAAGCATCAGGTGTGCTGAGTCCAGTCTGTGATCCCAGGATTGGACTTAACTTCCTTGGGCTCCATTTCCTAATCTTCCTTAACATTAAGTAACTAGAGTGTATCTCCCAGATTGTCCCAGATCTATGTCAGGCCACAGGCCTCAAGGAGGGAATGGATTTCATAGGAAAGTCATCTTACCTTGCGATGGTGTGCTCTTTGGGTGGTAGGTCCCCGTAGTGGATAGAAGGCCAGCATTTCCACCTCTTAGCCTCTAACACATCTACTCCCAATCCCAAGCTTCATTTCTACCTTTCCTTTGTTCACAAGAGTTCATTCTCTGGACTGATAACTTGGAAGAGAGATGCAGGATTCAGGTTTGAATTGCTTGTATCTCATGAAACAATCTTGGTATAACAAGTGAACTATTTAAATTCTTAGCACCTATCTGGCCATTTATTTCATTTCATATACCAGTCCATATCTGGTAACAAAGTATTGAAATCCTGTAAATGAGTCTCTGGTCTCACATTTTGTCTGATCTTTCATGTTTAGGATGGTTTATTCCTAGACGCGTAGGTCCTGAGTTATTAGGAAAGCTCATTTTCAGCAGGTTGTGAAGTCTCATATCCTATGAAGAGAAAATAGGGGGAGCAAGGGAGAAAAACAACATCAGACTAAAGAACAATCCTGAGAAATCAATATAGGCCACATTACTATGAAGTCCACATATCAGTAGGCAGGTATGAAAGTGGCTTAGGTATGTAAACAGGTTGCTGTTATTTTCTTCTGAAATTTAGTTGTCTAGCTTCAGTTCACAGAGCTTTACAAAAGCACAACTTAGTTTTTGGTGGTTCCAAATTAGGAAAAATGGGGGAAAAAAGAAGGAAAAAGATTGAAAACATTATTTCAAGGCTTATAGCCAAGAAAAATTAGAATTCAGTCCAAACTGTAGAAAATAATAAAAACTGAAAAAACATTAGGCAAGACTAGAACCTAAAAACAGGTGTTGTATTCGTCAATTTTCATGCTGCTGATAAAAACATACCCAAGACTGGGTAATTTATAAAGAAAAAGAGGTTTAATGAACTCACAGTTTCACGTGGCTGGGGAAGCCTCACAATCATGGCAGAAGGCAAAAGGCATGTCCTACATGGCAGCAGACAAGAGAAAATGAGAACCAAACAAAAGGGGTTTCCTCTTATAAAACTATCATGAGACTTATTCACTACCACGAGAACAGTATGGGGGAAACTGCCCCCCACACCATGATTCAATTATCTCCCACCAGGTCCCTCCCACAACATGTGGGAATTATGGGAGCTACAATTCAAAATGAGATTTGGATGGGGACACAGCCAAACCATACTAAGTGTACTATAGGTTTTGAAACATAATTTTTCTCTCCAGTTTTCCTTTTTGTTGAATGGAGTTTTGCTCTATCATCCAGGCTGAAGTGCAGTGGCACAATCTCGGCTCACTGCAAGCTCCGCCTCCTGGGTTCACGCCATTCTCCTGCCTCAGGCTCCCGAGTAGCTGGGACTACAGGCACCTGCCACCACGCCCAGCTAATTTTTTGTATTTTTTTTAGTAGAGATGGGGTTTCACTGTGTTAGCCAAGATGGTCTTGATCTCCTGACCTCATGATCCACCTGTCTCAGGCTCCCAAAGTGCTAGGATTATAGGCATGAGCCACCGCGCCTGGCCTAGTTTTCCATTTTTACAAAAGACAAATCATGGTAGGACTGATTTGCTTTATTATACTTGGATTGATTTTTTGTATATAGTGTAGCAAGAATAATTATTATTTTTTACATAGGCTTTTAAATTGGATTTCATGGAATTTTGTTCCATAGAAGGAATCTCACATAAGAATTTTTTAAAGCTGAGCCAAGCCATGAATTTGGACCATTAAATACCTATGAGTTGGGTGAATTCCTCTCCTCTTCAGGTTCCAAGATAAACTTGGGGCTCCTGAGCCTGTCAGAAAGTGACATTCTTTACTTACCACAGGTCAGGAACCCTATACAGGGACTGTGCAGACAAAGGTATGAAGCCAGTTTTTCCAAGGGGCTTATATTGGCTCCATAAGTCAAGTTTGATTCCTTAAAGGAAAGCACACCATTCCAGTCAAAGCCTTGGTAAAATAACCAGTTTCTCCAATTGTGTCCTGTTACAAATGAAAACAGATTCTTATTGTACTTATGCAAATAACTATTATCATAAATTAAGAATACTCACACACTGGGTACGGTGGCTCATGCCTATAATCCCAGCACTTTCGGAGGCTGAGGCAGGTGGATCACAAGGTCAGGAGTTTGAGACCAGCCTGGCCAATATGGTGAAACCCCATCTCTACCAAAAAATATAAAAATTAGCCAGGCATGGTGGTGGGTGCCTGTAGTCCCAGCTATTCGGGAGGCTGAGACAGGAGAATTGCCTGAACCTGAGAGGTGAAGGTTGCTGTGAGCTGAGATCGTGTCATTGCACTCCAGCCTGAGCAACAGAGTGAAACTTTGTCTCAAAAAAAAAAAAAAAAAGAATACTTACAAATCATTTCCAAATTATGTAGAAATCAGGTAAAGAGAAACAAAATGCTCCAAATTTTGTTCAAAGGAATATACTTTACTCAATTGTTAAAAGTTGTAAATAGCTTAAAAGTCTTCTTGACTCTGAAAAACAAAACAAAGGATCAGCAACGTTTTAAGCAAAAAGTTAAAAAGATTACTTTAGACTTCTATTAGTTTAGTCCATGCAGTTAATTCCTATTCTGCTTGATATTCAGGAGCGTTTCAGCTCTCCATGAGCCCTGAAAGTTTTCCCTCTATTCTAATGTCACAATCTCCAAAGTTATCAGAAACCTGCATTCAAGAGTACCTTACAGTTTTATAGCTGATTATAAAACCACCTTCTAAAGAGGACCAAAACAAGACGACAAGGGTAGCCATAGTCAAAGACACAATTGACAAGGAAATTTGTTACCTCTGTGTCACACAATAATTTAACATAACAATTATAGTTATTACAGATAACATACACTGAGTCATATCAGAATAACAGGAGTTTCCCATAATTTTGGAACACATACCAGTAACATATTTATTCAAATACAGCCCAAAGAAAACCAAACACCATTTCATATTTGACAATGATTCCTGTGTAATTTCTATATCAAATAAGCCAAACATATCATTTTTTGACTTTAGGGATCCTATTAATAATATCTTAAAGGATTAATTAGGTCAGAAAAGACATAATTTATAATTTGATTTTGGAAAGTTTGTCAAATATCAAAGGTTTAAAATACTTGATACCAGGCCAGGCATGGTGGCTCATTCCTGTAATCCCAGCACTTGGGGAGGCCAAGGTGGGTGGGTCACCTGAGGTCAGGAGTTTGAGACCAGCCTAGCCAACATGGTGAAACCCCATCTCCACTAAAAATACAAAAATTAGCTGAGTGTGTTGGTGCACATCTGTACTCCCAGCTACTTGGGAGGCTGAGGCAGGAGAATCACTTGAACCCAGGAGGCAGAGGTTGCAGTGAGCCAAGATCATGCCATTGCACTCCAGCCTGGGTAACACAGCAAGACTCCATTTTAAAAAGTAATAATAATAAAAACAAATAAATAAAACATTTGATATCACAAAATGAGATTACAGGCCATTGTAAAGTAAGTCATTCATTTAACCAAATTGATAGGGATTTCAAAAAAAGAGAAAACCTTCATTCTTTGAGAGAGAAGACTTAATTTTCCAAACAGTAAGCCCAAATAAAAACAGCATGAAGTCAATTAAATTTGTTTTTCAAATTTTACCCATATGCTAGTCTTGCATCAGTGTGACTTTGACATTAATGGTTAATTTGTAGAGAAACTGAACTAAGTTTATCTCTTAAAATTAGCCCTCACAATCTCACATGCCCAACTCTTCCACGATAGTCCCTGGGCCTTGTGGAGCTGAATGGCTTTAATTTCTGGCCCTGTGTCTCAGCAGTGAAGTTTATTTTGATTGGCATCTTCTATGGGGCCTGAAGATGAGGGTTTAATTGCTGTCAATGTTTAAGATTTAGCAAGGGATGGCCAAATATGAACAGCTCCAGTCTACAGCACTTAGGGTGAGTGACGCAGAAGAAGGGTGATTTCTGCATTTCCAACTGAGGTACTGGGTTCATCTCACTGGGACTTGTTAGACAGTGGGTGTAGCCCACATGAGTGTGAGTCAAAGCAGGTTGGAGCATCACCTCTCCTGGGAAGTGCAAGGGGTTGGGGAATTCCCTTTCCTAGCCAAGGGAAGCCATGACAGGTGGTACCTGGAAAATCGGGACACTCCCACCCTAATACTATGCTTTTCCAATGGTTTTAGCAAGTGGCACACTAGGAGATTATATCCCATGCCTGGCTTGGAGGGTCCCATGCCCACGGAGACTTGCTCACTGCTAGCACAGCAGTCCGAGATTGAACTGCAAGGCAGCAGTGAGGCTGGGGGAGGGGTGTCTGCCATTGCTGAGGCTGGACTAGGTAAACAAAGTGGCTGGGAAGCTCAAACTGGGTGGAGCCCACTGCAGCTCAAGGAGGCCTGCCTGCCTCTGTAGACTCCACCTCTGGGGACAGGACACAGCTGAAGAAAAGGCAGCAGAAACTTCTGCAGATTTAAACGTCCCTGTCTGACAGCTTTGAAGAGAGTAGTGGTTCTCCCAGTGTGGAGTTTCAGATCTGAGAACAGAAAGACTGCCTCCTCAAGTGGGTCCCTGACCCCCAAGTAGCCTAACTGGGAGATACCTCCCAGTAGAGGCCGACTGACACCTCATACAGCCAGTTGCCCCTCTGAGATGAAGCTTCCAGAGGAAGGATCAGGCAACAACATTTGCTGTTCTGCAATATTTGCTGTTCTGCAGCCTCTGCTGGTGATACCCAAGCAAATAGGGTCTGGACTGGACCTCCAGCAAACTCCAACAGATCTGCAACTGAGGGTCCTGACTGGTAGAAGGAAAACTATCAAACACAAAGGAATAGAATCAACATCAACAAAAAGGACATCCACACCAAAACCGCATCTATAGGTCACCATCATCAAAGAACAAAGGTAGATAAAACCACAAAGATGGGGAGAAACCAGGGCAGAAAAGCTGAAAATTCTGAAAATCAGAGTGCCTGTTCTCCTCCAAAGGAGCGCAGCTCCTCATCAGCAATGGAACAAAGCTGGATGGAAAATGACTTTGATGAGTTGACAGAAGTAGGCTTCAAAAGATTAGTAGTAACAAAGAAGGATGTTTAAACCTATTGCAAAGAAGCTAAACACCTTGAAAAAAGATTAGACGATTGGCTAACTAGAATAAACAGTGTAGAGAAGACCTTAAATGACCTGATGGAGCTGAAAACCATGGCAGCTGATTTGATCAAGTGGAAGAAAGGGTATCAGTGATTGAAGATCAAATGAATGAAATGAAGTGAGGAGAGAAGTTTAGAGAACAAAGAGTTAAAAGAAATGAACAAAGCCTCCAAGAAATATGAGACTATGTGAAAACACCAATCTACGTCTGATTGGTGTACCTGAAAGTGACGGGGAGAATGGAACCAAGTTGGAAAACACTCTTCAGGAATTTATCCAGAAGAACTTACCCAACCTAGCAAGGCAGGACAACATTCAAATTCAGGAAATACAGAGAACGCCACAGAGATACTCCTCAAGAAGAGCAACTCCAAGACACATAATTGCCAGATTCACCAAAGTTGAAATGAAGGAAAAAATGTTAAGAGCAGCCAGAGAGAAAGGTTGGGTTACCCACAAAGGGAAGCCCCATCAGACTAACAGCGGGTATTTCAGCAGAAACTATACAAGCCAGAAGAGAGTGGGGACCAATATTCAACATTCTTAAAGAAAAGAATTTTCAACCCAGAATTGCATATCCAGCCAAACTAAGCTTTATAAGTGAAGGAGAAACAAAATCCTTTACAGACAAGCAAATGCTGAGAGATTTTGTCACCACCAGGCCTGCCTTACAAGAGCTACTAAAGGAAGCACTAAACATGGAAAGGAACAACCGGTACCAGCCACTGCAAAAACATGCCAAATTGTAAAGACCATTGATGCTAGGAAGAAACTGCATCAACTAATGAGCAAAGTAACCAGCTAACATCATAATGACAGGATCAAATTCATACATAAAAATATTAACCTTAAATGTAAATGGGCTAAATGCCCCAATTAAAAGACACAGACTGGCAAATTGGATAGCATCAAGACCCATCAGTGTGCTGTATTCAGGAGACCCATGTCATGTGCAGAGACACATATAGGCTCAAAACAAAGGGATGGAGGAAGATCTATCAAGCAAATGGAAAACAAAAAGAAAGCAGGGGTGCAATCCTAGTCTCTAATAAAAGAGACTTGAAACCAACAAACATCAGAAGAGACAAAGAAGGCCATTACATAATGGTAAAGGGATCAATTCAACAAGAAGAGCTAACTATCCTAAATATATATACACCCAATACAGGAGCACCCAGCTTCATAAAGCAAGTCCTTAGAGACCTACAAAGAAACTTAGACTCCCACACAATAAGGGAGACTTTAACACCCCACCATCAACATTAGACAGATCAACAAGACAGAAAGTTAACAAGGATATCTAGGACTTGAACTCAACTCTGCACCAAGCAGACCTAATAGACTTCTACAGAACTCTCCACCCCAAATCAGCAGAATATACATTCTTTTCAGCACCACATTGCACTTATTCCAAAATTGACCACATAGTTGGAGGTAAAGCACTCCTCAACAAATGTAAAAGAATGGAAATTATAACAAACTGTCTCTCAGACCACAGTGCAATCAAATTAGAACTCAGGATTAAGAAACTCACTCAAAACCACACAACTACATGGAAACTGAACAACCTGCTCCTAAATGACTACTGGGTACATAATGAAATGAAGGCAGAAATAAAGATGTTCTTTGAAACAAATGAGAACAAAGACACAACATACCAGAATCTCTGGGACACATTTAAAGCAGTGTGTAGAGGGAAATTTATAGCACTAAATGCCCACAAGAGAAAGCAGGAAAGATCTAAAATCAACATTTCAATATCACAATTAAAAGAACTAGAGAGGCAAGAGCAAACACATTCCAAAGCTAGCAGAAAGCAAGAAGTAAGTAAGATCAAAGCAGAATAGAAGGAGATAGAGACACAAAAAACCCTTCAAAAAAATTCATGAATCCAGGAGCTGGCTTTTTGAAAAGATCGACAAAATTGATACACTGCTAGCAAGACTAATAAAGAAGAAAAAACAGAAGAATCCAATAAACGCAATAAAAAATGATAAAGGGGATATCACCACAAATCCTACAGAAATAAAAACTACCATCAGAGGATACTATAAACACCTCTATGCAAATAAACTAGAAAATCTAGAAGAAATGGATAAATTCCTGGACACATACACTCTCCCAAGACTAAACCAGGAAGAAGTTGAATCCCTGAATAGACCAATAGCAGGCTCTGAAATTGAGGCAATAATTAATAGCCTACCAACCAAAAAAAGTCCAGGACCAGATGGATTCACAGCTGAATTCTACCAGAGGTACAAAGAGAAGTTGGTACCATTCCTTCTGGAACTATACCAATCAATACAAAATGAGGGAATTCTCCCTAACTCATTTTACGAGGCCA